CGCGCAACCGCAACCCAACAACCGCAACTGGGCGACACATTTCAAAGCGCCCGCGGGAGCGCGCAGCCGCAACCGCAACCGCAACCGGGCGACACATTTCAAAGCGCCCGCGGGCGCGCAACCGCAACCCAACAACCGCAACCGGGCGACACATTTCAAAGCGCCCGCGGGAGCGCGCAACCGCAACCGCAACCGCAACCGGGCGACACATTTCAAAGCGCCCGCGGGCGCGCAACCGCAACCGCAACCGGGCGACACATTTCAAAGCGCCCGCGGGAGCGCGCAACCGCAACCGCAACCGCAACCGGGCGACACATTTCAAACGCCCGCGGGCGCGCAACCGCAACCGCAACCGGGCGAGGAGGAGGGGGACGACGACGACGACGACGACGACGACGACGACGACGACGACCAGGACGACGACGACGACGAGGGCGAGGAGGAAGACTGAGCAACAGCAGGGGGATGGGCTGGGGGGGGGCAGGGGGCGGGGGACGACAAGGAGAAGAAGGAGGAGCCACTGGCGGAGGGCCCGACGACGAGCCCCCGCGTGGCCCGCGGTTCTCCGCCGGGACATTGCAGCGGGGAATCCCTATTCCACGCTGCTGACTTTGATTATGTTCCCCTATGTAGGGAGCGGGGGGGGGAGGCTCTCAGAAGCTCCACGCTTCTCGGAAGGCGCAGGCCTCCATCGGATGCACGGGCGTGAGATCGCAGTGGACCAGAGAGCCCCCCCATCAGGAGATCGGTTTCGGCTTCGTGTTCGCGTCGTGCGTGCGGGCGAGGCGAAGCTGCGCGGGAGCGTGAGAGGAATGATGCCGCCGTGGCTAGGAACTGAGGAGCCGGTTGTCCGCCCCCCACGTCCCTTGGCGCGCGGTGGCCGGGGGTGTTCCGTCGGTGGCGCGTCGGTGTCCCGTCGGTGGCGCGGGTTGTCCCGACGGTGGCTCCGGGATTCCCGTCGTGGTGTCTACATGGTAGTTCGTGAGATCAGTTGTGAGATCGATCTTGTGATCGATTTCGTTGTCGATCGTGATCGTGAGATCGGTCGTGAGATCGATAGTGATATCGATAGTGAGATCGATAGTGTTATCGATCCCAACAGATCTTTGGCTGGGGGTGCCTCATCGTGGTGACTCGATGGTGTCTCGCGAGATGTCTTGTGAGGTCGATCGTGAAATCTCTTGTGATATCGTTATTGAGATCGCCGCTCCCTACAAGACCCCCCACCCCGCTCCCTACAAGACCACCACCATATGTAGGACGGGGGAGAAGGGAGGATGAAGAGGTCCTCCTCCTTCCTCCGCCTCCTCCTCCTCCTCCTCCTCCTCCTCGTCCTCCTCCTCCTCCTCCTCCTCCTCCTCCTCCTCCTCCTCCTCCTCCTCCTCCCTCTCCTACCTATGGTAGTGGTGGTGGTGGAAAATGGGCCCATTACCCTGCGCGGGGCCGCATGTTGTGAGGAAGGCCGGGGCGCCAGAGCGGCGGAGGGGCCCGCAGAGGCCCGTCCCGGGAGCGGCGCAAGGCAGGGATCGACTGCACGGCCATGACGAGGAGGAGTCGAGCATTGGCCTGTTCTCCACCACCATCACCAGAAGTTGAGGAGGGAGGGTCCTCCTCCTCCTCCTCCTCCTCCTCCTCCTCCTCCTTCTCATCCTCCTGCTCCTCCTCCTGCTCCTCCTCCTCCTCATCCTTATCATCATCATCCTCATCATCATCCTCATCCTCATCATTAGCATCAGCATCAGCATCAGCATCAGCATCAGCATCAGCATCAGCATCAGCATCATCATCAGCATCATCATCATCATCATCATCATCATCATCATCATCATCATCATCATCATCATCAGGCGGAGGGCGGAGGGCATGTCGGAGGGCATGTCCTGATCCACCGCCTCAGGAGGAGGAGGAGGAGGAGGAAACGGAGGAGGAGGAGGAAGAGGAGGAGGGAGGAGGAGGAGGAGGAGGGTGGAGGAGGCAGGAGGAGGAGGAGGAGGAGGGAGGAGGAGGAGGAGGAGGAGGAGGAGGAGGGGACACCATCATCATCACCATCACCATGGCCATGACCATATCAACATCATCCTCACCGTCGCCATCCTCATCAGCAGCCTCGGCAGCATGACCATCGTCACCATCATCACCATCACCATCACAACCACAACTATAATGATACCCATACGACCACCCTTCGGGTGATAAGGAGGCTGTGGGGGGGGAGAGGGAGAGGAACCAACATCTGACTCAATAGATCTCATTATCGATCTCACTCAACGGGACACCACTGGAGACCACGGGACACCACGGGATACTTGTCGATCTCACTATCGATCTCGCTATCGATCTCACTCAACGGGATACCACGGGACACCACGGGACACCGCGGGACACCTCTCGATCTCACAATCGGTCTCACTATCGATCTCATCATCCATCTCACTCAGCGGGACACCATAGGAAACAGCGGATCACCGATCTCACGATCGATCTCACTATCGATCTCACTCAACGGGACACCACGGGACACCTCGGGACACCTGTCGATCTCAATATCGATCTCACTATCGATCTCACTCAACGGGTGACCACGGGACACCACAGGACACCACGGGACACCTCGGGACACCTGTCGATCTCACTATCGATCTCACTCAACGGGACACCACGGGACATCACGGGACACCTCGGGGCACCTCTCGATCTCAATATCGATCTCGCTATCGATCTCACCATCGATCTCACTCAACGGGACACCAGGGGACACCAGGGGACACCAGGGGACACCAGCGGGACACCAGCGGGACACCGGCGGGACACCGGCGCGGCACACCGCGTGGCACCGGCCGACGGAGGAGAAACATGTGGTCCGGGCGCGGCCCAACCACAGGAAGATATCGTGATTGCGGGACACCAGCGAGCGGGACACCGGCGGGACACCGCGTGGCACTGGCCGCCGGAGGAGTTACATTTGGTCTGGCCGCGGCCCAGCCACAGGAGGATTCCCTCTCGCCCGCCCACGCAGCTTCGCCTCGCCCGCACGCCCGCACGGCACGCACGACACGAACCCGAAACCTAAATCGATTTCCCAGTAGGGAGGGTCTCCGTTCCACGTCGGGCTCACCCCCTAACCTCCGAACCAGCATCATCAACAGCATCATCATCACAACATCATCAGCATGATCACCATGAACATCATCATAATCAACATCATCATCATCAACATCATCATCATCCTCATCGTCATCCCTCTCAGCCTCATCTTCCCATCATCCTCGCATACCCCATCACCCTCCCACTTCCGATATCATGTTTATCGTGTTTGCGCCTCTTCTTCCTCCCGCCCGTCATGGTCCTCCTCTCGGGCGTTGGCAGGACTGGGTTTAGTGGGCCCTGGTTTAGTGATTCCAGTAACCATTCCACTAACCGAAACTGCCGCCATCCGAATAACACCAGCTACAGCAAACCTGGTTTAGTGATTCCAGTCCATATTGTGGGCTTCGGTACTCCCCCTTCTCATTGATCGTCCCTGTTTCCTGTCTTCCCATCTTCGTAATGCTCAGCCTGATCATTCTCCAAGCCATCAGACTCGTCCACCACCTCCTCATCGCTCCACCGACTCTTCCTCCTCCTCCTCCCTCCCATCCCACTTCCTTCTCCTCGTCCTCTCCCTCCCCCTCCCCCTCGCCCTCCTCCTTTCCCTCCCTCCCTCCCTCCCTCCTTTCCCCTCGCGGGATCCCGTTGCTTCTCAGCACCGCGTCGAGGTCAAGCTCGTCCAGGTCGCCCGATCCACCGGCAACCCCCTCCGAGAGGTCGCGCCTGGGTCGCGCCCGCGGTGCTCCCGCTCCTCCTGCTCCTGCTGCACCTCCTCCCGCTTCACCTGCTGCGCCTCGCCTTCGCGCCTCACCTCCTCCTCCTCCTCCTCCTCCTCCTCCTCCTCCTCCTGGTCCTCCTCCTCCTCCTCCTCCTCGTCCTCCTCCTGGTCCTCCTCCTCCTCCTCCTCCTCCTCCTGCTCCTGGTCCTCCTCCTCCTCCTGGTCATCCTCCTCCCCTCCTCCCCCTCCTCCTCCTTCTCCTCCTCCTCCTCCTCCTCCTGTGCCTGCGCCCGCTCCTCGTTCCTGCCCCCGGCCCCCAGTTTCTCCGAACGAACCTCCTCCATCTGCCCATCACCCTCGGCGACGAGGAGAAGCTCTTCTCAGAAGGCGGCGGGTCTTCTCAGAAGCCCTCGCGCCTTCTGAGAGGCTTCCTGCGTCTTCGGAGAAGGCTTAGAAAGCTCCTCAGAAGGCGGGGGGGACGTCCGAACAATCTGAGAAGACCTTCTCCATCTCACTTCCCCCCCAGGCTCGCCGCCGGTACCCCCCGGTCGGAAGAAGTGGTTAGAAACATGCTCCGCCCAGTGCGCCGAAGACGGGACGTGCTCTCTCCCTCCCTCTCTCTCTCTCGGAATCCGCCCAAGGGGGGGTGACCCTGAGGGGGGGGGCATGAGTTCGATCCGCTGGTGCACCGAGCCGCCGCACACAGATGCCCCCCGCATGCCCCACCCATCGGCAACTGTCGGGAGCTGCCGGCGGCTGGGGGTCATCTGTTTTTGAGCGGTCCGGTGCAAAGGCCGATCTCTCTCTCTCTCTCTCTCTCTTTGTTTCTCTCTCTCTCTCTCTCTCACACACACACACCAGACCCCCCGCTTGCGGGATCCCGACTCTCGCTCTATCTCTCTCTCTCTCTCTCTCTTTTTTTTTTTTTCTCTCTCTCTCTCTCTCTCTCGATCGGCTCAGAGGGCGGGCGGGCGGGCCTGGCCTGTGGGGGGCGAAGAGGGGAATCGGCTCCCGGGGGGGGGGGACCCCTTGACTTGGAACCGGCGGTGCGTCGCCGATAGATTGGCGACGCACCGTAAGGCACCCCCCCAAGGCTGGGGCACCGCCGAGGAGAACCCACGGAAGCGCCCGAAAGCCTCGCACCCCGAACAGCGATTGGGGTCGATGCAGTCCTGCCTGAACCTGTAGTCCCCCCGAACCAATTTTTTGACTACCTCTGGACACTCCGCCGGCAGTGTGCCGGGCCCTACTTGGCGCTGGCTGGGGCGGCTGTCTGTGCGCAGCCCGAAGCCTCACCGTCTTCTGGCCCAGAGCTCTGCGACGGCGGGGTTGGCCCCTCCCCCAAGGGCACCCGAGCAGGTCTCCACCCCTGTCACCTAGGAGGGAACCCGGGGGAATCAGGGATTCGGGCCAGAGGAAGAAAAAGAAGAGGAGGAGGAGGAGGAGGCGGAGGAGGAGGCGGAGCAGGAGGAGGGAGGGAGGAGGCGGAGCGGAGGAGGAGGGAGGAGGAGAGGAGGAGGAGGAGGAGGAGGAGGAGGAACCCCCCTCCACGCGGTTCGTTGCCTCTCCAGCGGCTCCGGCTGGGCCGAGCGGGCGGGCGCGGCTCCGCCGCAGGGGCCCGCCGCGGGGGGGGTGGGCCTGGCGCGCTCCGCGAGGCCAGCTCGAGCCCCAGCCAGCTCCCCGCCTCCCTGCGACGCGAGGCCGTCCACGCGGCCAAGGCAGGGGCGGACGACCCCGGGGGGGCCCCTCTGGGCAGGGACTGGAGGCACTAGGGGAACAAAAAATGGCATAAACATAAAAAAAACTCGGATTTCTCGGATCGGCGTTGGGGCCCCCCCGCGGCGCCTCTGGCGCCGCCACTGGCGCACTCCGCGCGCCAGGGAGGGGGGTCCAGCGCCGATCCGAGGAATCCGCGCAGACCTCCGAGTTTTTATGTTTATGTCATTTTTTGTTCCCCTACTCGTGCATTGTTTCACGCACCCATTGTCGCATTCGTCTTGCATTCTGCATTCTTCCCTGCGGCACTGCTTGCTGCCTGCGGCCATGGGAAGCAGTTTTGTTCCCGTGGGTGCAGGAGAGGCAAAGCAGCCTCGACGACACGCCACCGCGAGGAGCCCGTCGGCGTGCGGGGCGACGCGCCGGCGCGCCCCCGACGGCAGCGCGGGGGGGCCCGGGTTGTCGAGCGCGAAAGATACCCGTACCCTTACCTAGACAGGGTGGCATGGGTCCGGGGGGCAGTTCGTCGCAGCTGACGGCGGCTGCACAAGTGTAGAAGCGACGGCCGATCGAGCATTGCAGACCGCTGTCTTCTCGAGGCGCACGTTAGCACCGATCGCGCCTGCGCTCGAATCGGCGGAGTGGCCGACCCCGCGCTGGTTGCTGCTGATGTAGACCAGCTGCATAGGAGGCGCGCCCCCAGAGACACATATCCTGGCGTTGAGGAGTCTACGCGCACTCGGGGGTGCATGCGAACAACTCTGGCGCGAACGTCACAGCGCGACAACCGCCCACTCGCGTATTGATCGATGCAAAAAACATCACCCCAGCTAGGTACGGCTGCCCCCAGAAAACCCAAAACCATACCCGTGCCTAGCCGGGGTGTCGCAGCTCCACCCCAGCTAGGTCGGGGTATGTTTCGGTGGTTTCAGGCAGGTCCCCGTACCTAGCCGAAGTGGCGGCAGGCCCAAAACGCTCTCGAGCACATCGCATGCCCTCCAGAACCGTCCCCAACGTGGCCGCTGCGGCCCCCTGGGGGCGCGACATTGCAATGCCGTTTCTCAGGGCATGCCCAGACGCATTGGTTGCCAGGATGATGGCGAGGAAACGCATATTGTTATTCATTGGGACACGCGCCACCACATATGGGCGGCTTTGAGCCGCGCACGCACCACGATGCCCCGAGATGTCCCTAACAAAAACCAGCGCTTGTCGCTGCAATCAGACACCCAACCATCGACCGCGCAGTTGCGTCGGGGCAAGCTGACCGGGCACAATAGCAAACGCCCAGTCCCCCGGACGGCCCATCTCACCTTGACTGGCCCCGGGTACGGGTATATTTCGGACCAATGACCGGTGGCAGCGCGCGGTTGCTACCATGCTGCTTCCCTTGCTGGAGGAAGAAGCGACGGCAGAAACATCGGAGGGAGAAACAACGGCACAAACGTAAACTTCTGGAGGTCCGCGAGGATTTCTTGGGTCCAGGCTAGAAGCCCCTCCCTGGCACGCGGAGCGCGCCAAGGGCGGCGCCAGAGGCGCCGTCAGGGGGCCCGAGCGCGGATCCGAGGAATCCGGGCGGAGCGTCAAAAGTTTACGTTTATTAAGCAAGCGCGTTCCACTACTCGCAAATGGCCTGGGTCCGCCATAGGTTGGGACGCCCGAAATGGATATGGAAAACATGTGTACAATGCCCAACAACAGATGTTGTCCCAAACCGACAGCGGCCGATGTTGGGCAGGCGGCCTTCTGATTCAAATGGACACAGGCCGCGGCGACAGCGAGTCCTGTTCGAAATAGCACGAACTGCTGTCAGTCTTTGTGTCCATTATTTCCGTACCCATTTCGATCGCCCCGAAGGGGGGATCTACGATACACGACATCGAGGCACAGATGTGCTTGCCCGACGCTTGCTTGCGAGCAGGCACCTTGCGAGGAGTCGAACGCGCTCGCTGATTTCTGGCGTGGCTCTTCTTCGACCTGCGGCGAGGTCCGCGATGCGGCGGCGAAGCCCTGTCGGGGGGGGGAGGGAGGAGGGAGGAGGGAGGAGGGAGGAGGGAGGAGGGAGGAGGAGGAGGAGGAGGGAGGGGAGGGAGGAGGGAGGAAGGGAGGAAGGAGGAGGAGGGGAGGAGGAGGAGGAGGAGGAGGAGGAGGAGGAAGGAGGAGGAGGAGGGGGAGGGGATGCCTGAGAAGAGAGCCTGCGCCTCGGCCCTGCTGCCCGCGGCCCGCGCGCGCGCCCCGGAGGGGGCCCGCCCACGAGGCGGCCGCGCGTTCGGCGGATCCATCTCCTCCTCCTCTCTTCCTCCTCCTCCTCCTCCTCCTCCTCTTGCTCCTCCTCCTCCTCCTCCTCCTCCTCCTCCTCCTCCTCCTCCTACTCCTCCTCCTCACATTCCTCCCCCCTTCCACTCCCCCCTCCCCCTCCCCCTCCTCCTCCTCCTCCTCCTCCTCATCCTCCTCCGCCTCCTCCTCCTCCTCCTCCTCCTCCTCCTCCCCTTCTCCTCCTCCTCCTCCTCGCAGGTCCGCAGGAGGCGCTCCGCGTTCCCAAGACATCGCGCTGGCTCGTGCGAATCGGCGCTGCATCGATCCCAGTCGACGCCGCACCGACGCTCCTCGGCGCTACCACTAGACGCCAGCGCAAGCCAGCGCACTGCAGGAGGGGAAGTGCGAGGGCATGCCAGGCGCCCACGAGCAGAGGCCTTCCCAGATGGGGTCGGAGGAGCTCGCCGCATCGGCGACGCAGCATCGATGCCTCGGCGATGAATCGGCAACATCGGCGATTTGGTGGCGACATCCGCGTAGAGAAGGTCGGGCTCCACATGGGGCCGCATCGCCGATGCAGTCCGCGATGCGGAGCGATCCTCGACCCCGTCCAATCTGCTCCGACCCCACCTGGGGAACCTGGAACGAATTGCTACCGCACGCCGGGGAAACGACCCGGTGCGCTCTGACCAGGACTTCGAGGCGACTCCAGCGGTAGCGACGAGGGCCTCCCAGGAGGCCCCCGAAGGGGAAAACGAGGCGAGGGTAGAGCCATGGGAATATTTTCTAGAACAAAAAGTGATTCAAACATAAAAACTCGGAGGTCCAGCCCAAGCGCCGATCCGAGAAATCCATACGGACCTCCGAGTTTGTATGTTTGTGCCACATTCTGCTCCCCTATTCGAAGAGCTCGTTCCCCCACTCGCACAGTGACTACTCGCAAGTGGCCTGGATCCGCCGCGGGGGATCCCCGACACATCCCCTCGAAGTGGACATGTGTTTTTGCTCGGACGTTTGCGAGCAGGCGTTCTGCGAGCAGCGGAGCGCGCTCAGTGACCTCTGCTCCTCCTCCGCCCAGCGGCTGCTTGCCGACGGGTCTCCGGGCCGCGCCGGGCCGCGGCGCGCCAGCGGCGCGCGGCCCCGCGGGCCCGCGCCGCGGCGACGAGGGCCAGCGTTATGTCGGGCGTGTCCCCCTACAGCGGGAGTTCCGACGAAAAACATAAGAATACCCCAAGAATGCCCCAAAAAGGCCCCCCCAAAAAAAATTGCACAAAATGCCCCCCAGACGATTTTTGGAGCATGTTTTGACTATTTTTGGGGCATTTGGTATTGTTCGTCGGAAATCCCCCTGCAGGGGGACAGGCCCGACAGAAGGCCAGCGGGGCAGCTGCTCCGAGGGCGGGCGGCCGAGCCACGGGCCCGGCGTCCAGGCCGCGATGGCCCCCCGCCGACCCGGGCTTCGGGCAGCCGGCGCCGCGCCTCCCCGAGGACGGGGCAGGGGCCGACCGTGCCGGCAGTCCTACAGGCCCCCCCCTGATGGTCCGCTACCGAAAATTTCCGGTAGCGCTCCGCAGAGATCGGTCGCTACCGAAATACCGAAATGTAGCGCCCAATGCCGGTATCAGAGCGTTCTGAAATCCGCTACTTCAACGCCCTCAAACGAAGATCCGGTCGCTACCGAAATTCGGGGTGCGTCGAAATCGCTACCGAAAATTTCCGGTACCAGACCATCTGGGCCCGCGAAAGCCCAGACACGTTCTGAGAGCAAACTTTTTGTTGGTCTGCGGGTCGAGAGCGAGCCTCTTCCGGTGAAGGGGTTCGGCGGGGCGCACAAAGCACTGATTGGGGAGACGGGGCGCGGGCGGGCGGGGCCTCAGGCGGCCGGAGGGCGCGAGATGCAGGCGGTGCTGAAGAGCTTGCACAGGAAAAGGTACGCCATGGACAGGAGCCGGAGGCGAAGTCCCCGAGGGAGAGCGAAGTGGTGTTGCCGTCTTCTAAGAACAAACACACTGTTCTTAGAACGTAGGACCCGGGGGGGTTGAGCAAGGCAGTCCCGGCCAGAAATGTTCTCAGAACGTTTCGCGCAGAACAGGAAGGGTGCCTAGAACACTTGTTGGTGGGCACATAGGCAAACCAGGACGCTTCGCCGCTGCTTGAAATTACGCCGCAGGGCCCTCGGCCAGGCCCGACATGCCCTTCGGTGGCAACTCTTGGGAGCGTCCCGTAGCATCTTGTCGGCTCTTGCGAGTCGACCGACGCTGGACGACGCCAAATCGACGCTCATCGACGCTACATCGGCGCAACCTCATCGACCCCCAGACGCCAATCGACGCTAAGGACGGAAGTAAGGGGTATACTAAGCTCCCATGGATCGGCTACCGAAATATCCCGAAAGAAAGGGTAAAGAAGGGGTATACCAGGCCAATGAAATGGCCCGAAACCCATAGCCCCAACAGAACACGATCAGGTCTCCGGCGAAACGGCTACGGTCAAGCACCCTAATATAAGGACGCGCGACTCTGCTCGGGGCACCCTTGCGTCCTTGCTCTTCCTCGCTCTTGCGTCCTTGAGGTTTTCGTCGCCCGCCGCCCCACAAATCCCGATTTCGGCCTCCAAGGGTCCTGCGTCCATACCGCGCGTCCTTATGAGGGTTGTTGAGTGTACACCCTGCGAAATGCTTAAGAAATCATGGGTTAAGAAATTCACAGCCTCTGAACTTGCACAAAAGAACCCAACATTTCTATTAAAATCTTATGATTTACAGTGAAACGTTAAGAATAATCGAGACTCTGGCCGAAAACTTAAGTTTTCTTAAGCATCGCCTAAGGTGTACTGGACCCCTTCCGGACACGGCGGCCTCGGGCTCCCCGTCCCCCCTGTGGGACTCCTCTGATGGGCCTGTTTTCCACCACCACCACCATAAGTTGGAGGGCGAGGGGGTCCTCCTCCTCCTCCTCCTCCTCCTCCTCTTCGTCGTCCTCCTCCTCCTCCTCCTCCTCCTCCTCGTCCTCCACCTCCTTCCCCTCTCCAACTTGTGGTGGTGGTGGTGGTGGTGGAAAACAGGCTTATCATCCTCTGTGGCCTTCTTGCTCACCATGGCTTGAACCTTGTGGCGAAAAGCCACTCGGGAAGAGATGCACCTCTGCAGCTCGCCGGCCACACCGGCCAACGCCGTGCTAGAAGTCGTGGCGCTGATGTTCCGTGCGCTGTGGCCCCTTGTATGGAATGCCCCAAGAGGAGTTCCAGACACCCCACACAGTGGCCCTCACAAGAGGCCCACCGTCCTCGAGGCCCCCCAATAAGGACCAGGGACAGACGCGGAGGAAGAGAAGGACAAAGCCGGCGAGAGCTGCGCGAAGGGAGCACGACGGGGGGGAACGAAGCCTCTTGAATCAACGGGTTTTGGGTTTAGGGCTTGGGGTCAACAGGGGCGCGGAGATGTCAACATCCTGAACGCGTCACACATTGGCGCGGTGCTCGCATCCCACCCACCCTAGAAACTCATCTCATAAGCAGACACACGCCCTGGTGCATGCGAACCATCGAGGAAGGCCGCGTGGAGCAGGGAAGAGCAGCGAGGAGCAGCGAGGAGCGCGCGGGAGGAGCGGCACAGGAGCGCGCGGCGGCCCGTGGGAGGACAACGCGACGTCGGCTCGGAGTGTCAGGGGGCCGCCTGGGGGCGCGCAACGGCCCCTGCGGAGCGCGAGCCGCCCTCGGGCGGGCGCCGCGCGGGCAGAATGCGCCCCGCACTATTTGTTTGAAGGGCGCAGAACAGCCGCGCGGGCTGAATGTGACCCGCGCCCCACTTCGAATGGCACCTCGCGGCGGGCGAGGAAGTCGCTCCCTGCGGCCGCGCGAGCGTGATGCGCCCCTGCACCACATTTGTCACGGCGGATCGCGCGCGCTTGGGATTCGGCTTCGCATGCGATGCGAACCGCCCGCCACGTTTGGTGGACGAACAGTATGGGGAAGAGATTTACGCCTTTCGTCCGCGCGGGCGGGATGTGGCCTGCGCCAACTGTTTGATGGAGGATCGTGCGAGTTTAGGAATCAGCTTCGCATGGCGACGTGCAACGCACCAGAATTTCAATGGATGATCGTGACGCGTTTAGGAATCAGCTTCCCAGGGGAGAATGCCGAGGGTAGTTTTTTGTTTAGGATTCAGATTAATGTTGGAACAAAAATGTTTAGGCCCCCGAGAGGGCCAAATGAGGTCCCACAAAGGCCCCCAGGATACCACAACACTGCCTCCAAGACGCCAACGCGAGTGTCCCCAGAGAGTGCCCAAGAAGCCCACGGCGCCTCAACCATGAACTCACCGCCTCTTTTGGAGGCCGGCGGAATGGCGTAAGCCTCCTGAATCAATGGGTCGGCAGGATTCAAGATCCTCCCAAGACAGCCCCGAGAGGTGGCCCAAGACGGTCGAAGGCAAATCTTAAGAGGGCCCCAAGATGCAGACATCCGACAAAGACATTGATCTCCAATGATTTGGATGTGTGTTCTCTATGTCTCTCTCTCTCTCCCTCTCACTCTGTTCTACCGCTGCTGGCGGAAAACCGGGGGGGGATCACTACAGGTTCGAACCCCTCCCCCCCCCAGTCCATCATGAAAAGGTGGGGGGTCACTAGGTTCGAACCCCCCTCCCCCTGAGGTCACAAGATGACTCCAAGATCGACGAAGTTGTCTCCAAGAGGCCCAGAAAGGCTCCAAAAGGGCGTCGAATACACACGGGAACGCCCTAGTAGAGGCCCAAAGAGGCTTCAGGAGGGCCACAGGGCCGCCCAAGTGCAGTCATGGGTTGGCAGGCCCCGAGATGGCCCCGAAACAAACTCAAGATACGGCAGTCCCAAGATGCCCCGACATAACTTCGAGGCGACCCAAGATGGTCCAAGACGGCCCCAAGGACGGCTCCATGAGGCCAATAACCTTGATGTGGCTGTTCTCGCCATTCCGTTTCCTATAAGCTGCAGGGCTCCAAGATGGCCCGAAAGGGGCCCCAAGAGGGGGCACTACCGCCAACCAGCACGGTGTCAGCCCCCATGAGCATGCATTGAATTGCCAACGTTGACGCCAAGATCGCCAGCGGAATGCGCAAAAAAATCAAATCAGGATACGGTCGCACCGACAAGCGTGTGTCCTGAGATGCTCAACGCTCAACGCTGTGCTGGTGTGTAAATAATCCACTTGGACCTAGTCGCAACTAGTGGCGAAGGTGGATTAGAACGACTCCCTGTGCAGACCCTCCGTCGCCTCCATACGAAAAGTGCCGCCACAATCGGCTCGCGTGCCATGATGTCTCTGCCCTCACACCCGAATCTACTCAAAAAATGTTGTCCCTCTCACGACAACGGGTGTACGGTTCAAACGGTGAGGACCCAAACCGGGTGTTGCGCACACCACCTGCCCTGCCGTGACCTCCCCTGCGAGTATGGCCAGCATGATTCGTTGCTACCACTCCTGCTCCTCCTGCTCCTCCCTCCTCCCGTTCCTCCAATATCATGGTCCTGTTCCTGCCTTCTAGACCTCCTCGTAATCCTCCAAAACCTCCTCTGGCTAAGACCCACGCATGACCGCGTCGATGGCCTGCCTCTCCGAATCCTGGCGGCAAGCGCAAGAGGCGGTGCCTCAACAGCTCGGACATCAAACGACACAAGGACGAAAGAGGACACGATCACAGGACGATTGCTCGAAAACCAACGATGAGGACCGTCCCCGTGGATGCTCTCATGGTGCCGACTGGAGAGGGGGGCGGGGGATGGGGCACAGCTGGCGAGGCAAGTGGGGCGAGGGGAGGAGGGGACCGCGGCGAGATGGAACTGGAGGGGAGGCGGAGCATGGCGGAGGGGGAGGGCGGGGACGAGGGGGCATCGGAGTGAGGGCAGAGAAGAGAGGGCGGCAGCGTTTGGAGGCGATAGTGGAAAAGCGAGGGGGGGATGGGAAAGGAAGGGGGGCGATGAGAGAGAAAGAGAGGGGGCTTCGTACGGAGGAAGAGGGAACTGGGCTAGGGGGGAGCTGGAGGAGGGGGCAGGGAGGGGAGGGGCTGGCACGAGCGGAAGAGGAACCAGGAGGACCGCGAGGGGGAAGCACAGCAGGGGGGGCAGACAAGGGCGGGAGGGGGAAGGGAGCAAGGATCGACCTGAACCCTAAACAATGCTTTCCGTTTCCCTTCTGTTTTCGTTGTCGCTGGTTGTGTCTTCGACGCGCCTCTGCTGCAAAACGGCACCGTAACAAAACGACAGCGGAACACAACGGGAGCCGGTCCCAACGACGGAATGGCCCAGGCCGCGGTGGCGACGAGACGCTCGACTCGAATCCCAGAGCCCGTGAAATAGGGGTGGGACGGACGCGGAGGGGGGGGAGGAGATGCGAGGGGATAGGGGTCAGGACGACGGGGAGCGGAGGGGACTGGAGGGACAAAAACAGCGTAAACATAAACTTTAGACGGTCCGCGTGGATCTCTTGGATCTGCGCCGAAGCCCCCTTCCTGGCGCGCGGAGTGCGCCAGGGGGGGCGCCAAAGGCGCCTCCCAGCGCAGATCCATGAGATCCGCGCGGAGCGACCAATGTTTATGCTGTTTTTTCGTCCTCGAGGGACGGGGGCAGGAAGGGGGGAGGGTTAAGTCGGGCGTGTCCCCCTAAGGGGGATATTGGACGAAAAATGCAGAAACATGTGAAACAAACACAAACATTTACAAAAATGCTCCAAAAATCGTCCCGGGGCCACTAGGCTGTAGGCCGGGACTGTGCTGCTCCCTGTACCAGAAGCAGCTTCCAGTTTCCACTGTTACAGTGCTGCTTCTTGATGCTTACTTGCTTACTGTTCCTTGTTGATGAACGCGCCAGGGGGGGGGAGCCCAAACCAGCAGAACTACCACGCCCTGGGAAGGTCCTCAGAATTTCTGGGGGGGGAAATTGACTCCCTCACGCAGATCCGCAGGGTCAGGGTCCAAAAACATGAAGGATTTGCCACATGTTTGAACTTCAGTGGCACCCCTCACGCAGATCGGCGGGGTCAGGGTCCAAGAGCACATGGGAGTTGCCACATTTCTGAAATCCGGTGGCACCCCTCACGCAGATCGGCCGGGTCAGGGTCCAAACAAACAGGTCCCGCCACATTTTGTAAATTCGGTGGCACCCCTCACGCAGATCGGCGGGGTCAGGGTCCAAAAAACACAGGGGATGTACCACATTTCTGAAATTAGGTATCACCCCTCACGCAGATCGGTGGGGTCAGGGTCCAAAAACATATGGGATTTGCCACATTCCTGAAATCCGGTGGCACCCCTCACGCAGATCGGCAGGGTCAGGGTCGAGAAACAAACAGGTCCCGTCTCCGCTTCACGGCGGCGCCCAGACCTCATGATTTAGCTTTTGCATCTCCCATTATCCGAGACAGGGGGCCGGCGGCATTGGGCGAAGCCATTACGGATATATTGATTGTTTGACTATCTTTGAATTTTATTTACTCCTCTAGAGGGACTGGCCCAACTGACGGGGAGGGTGGGAGAGGCAGGGGGGGGGCATCGTCACACATGTGGGCCTCTCTGGGGTGGCTCTCGCGGAAGTCCAGCCCGGGGAGGCGCCGGCGGGCAGCGCGGGCGGTGCAAGAATGGCGGAGGCAACGTCTCCTTAGAAGCGGACGTCTTCGCCTTCTCCGCCTGGCGCGCCCAGGTGCACTGAATGAAGGGGCTGCGAGCGAGGGTGCAATGGTGGGGGTGGGGGGGGGGGGAAAGGGGGTGAGGGTGCGGTGGGTGAGGGTGTCGAGGTGAGGGTGGGGTGGTTCGGGTCGGGCGAAAGGGGGGGATAGCAAAGGGGGGGTTTGAGAATCAGCTCACGCAGCTGATTTTCCCGGCGCCTCCCGGCGCCGGAGGCGGCCATGTATCGAGGAATGGGCCCCTCGGTGAGGCCGAGACCAGCTGCATGCAGCAAATTTCGTAACCCCCCCTTTCCCAATCCCCCCCTTTCGTCCGGCCCGAGTTTTGCACCGCCGCGCGGGCGCTGCGGCCGCGGCGCGCCGCAGCGCGCCGAGCCTCTGCGCGCCGAGGGGCCCTCCGCCGCGACGGGCGTGGGCCCGGCGATCGCGCACGGCGGCGGTGCGGCCGCGGTCGGCGCGCCCTCCGGCAGGCACCTCCTCGCCGTCCCGCAGCAAATTTCGTAACCCCCCCTTTCCCAATCCCCCCCTTTCGCCCGACCCGAGTGGTGGGGGGTGGGGTGGGGGGTTCGGGGGCGGGGGTGACGGTGCGGGGGTGCTGGGTGAGGGTGCGGTGGGTGAGCGTGCGGGGATGGAGGTGCAGGGGGGGAGGGAGAGAGGGAACTGTAGAGAGCGGGGGAGGGAGAGGGGGCAAGGAAGACGTGTGGGGGAAGAGGGGGTGGGAGGGTGACGAGCGCATGGGGACAGGGTTGGAAAGGAAGAGGGAAGAGGGAATCGCACTTCGATGGGGGGGGGAGGGGGCAGAGGATATGAGTGGGGAGGAAGGAGGGGGTGGGGTAAGAGAGAGGGAGAGAGAAACAACAAAACGAAACACAAGAGAAACAGAGACAACAAGAGAGAGAGAGAGAGAAAGAGAGATAAAGAGAGAAAGAGAGATAAAGAGAGAGAGAGAGACAGACAGACAGACAGACAGAGAGACAGACTGGGACGCAGAGAGAGGGCGAGCGAGCGAGCGAGAGAGAGCGAGAGAGGCACACATGGGCAGAGATGGAGGGAGATGTAAGAGGGACGAGGGATAGAGAGAGAGAGAGATAGAGAGAGAGGGAGACGCAAGAGGGACGGGGAGGAATGGAGAGGCGAGGCGGGGCCGAAGAGATGGAGCCACCGCGAGCTTCACACACGACGCCCAGGCTCTGCTAGACCTGGCCCGCTCGAGCCGCTCGTCCGCCAGGCTCGCACCGTAGAACAAGGCTAGGATCGGGATAGATCGCTCCAGAGCCTTCCGCAGCGCTCTCAGAGCGTCCAGGCACGCTCCGGAGCGGCCGCGGCGCCCAAGATACATCCTCCAAGCCCGCCGACTCTCAGAGATTTCGAGTTGTCCCGATCCGATTTCGTCCCGATCTTCGCGTCGTTTTGCACCGCCGCGCGGGCGCTGCCCGGGTCGGGCGAAAGGGGGGGATAGCAAAGGGGGGGTTTGAGAATCAGCTCACGCAGCTGATTTTCCCGGCGCCTCCCGGCGCCGGAGGCGGCCATGTATCGAGGAATGGGCGCCTCGGTGAGGCCGAGACCAGCTGCATGCAGCAAATTTCGTAACCCCCCCTTTCCCAATCCCCCCCTTTCGTCCGGCCCGAGTTTTGCACCGCCGCGCGGGCGCTGCGGCCGCGGCGCGCCGCAGCGCGCCGAGCCTCTGCGCGCCGAGGGGCCCTCCGCCGCGACGGGCGTGGGCCCGGCGATCGCGCACGGCGGCGGTGCGGCCGCGGTCGGCGCGCCCTCCGGCAGGCACCTCCTCGCCGCCCGCGGCCACGGGCAGGTCCACGTTGACGGGCGAAGAACGGTATAAACTAAACTTTTTCGACGAGTGACCTCTATTATTGTGATTTTTATTTTTCGCGGAAATCCATTCCCCTTACGGTGGCACCGTAGGGGTATCAGCTTTCCAGCCGCCCAGGGACAGGCGCCCCCGACAGCGAGAAAGTTCAGTTTATACCGTGCTTCGCTCGCTGTCCACGGCCCCGTCCCGGCGGCGCTGCCTTACGTCAGGCCTGTCCCCCTACAGGGGGATCTTTCGACGAAAAATACAGGTCACTTGTCTGATGTGCGAAATGGATTTCCGGGAGTTTCGAGGAATGGATTTCCGCGAAAAATAAGAATCACAATAATAGAGGTCACTCGTCGAAATATGGATTTTCGGGATGTTCGAAGAGCACCCCAGAAATGGTCAAACCATGGTCCATGAATAGTCGGGGGCCTATTCGTGGGGGTATCCTGTTTTCCCTTCTTGGGGTACGGTTGGGGTATTTCCCATTTTTCGTTGGAGATCTCCCTGCAGGGGGACACGCCCGACATAAGCGCTGCCGGGGCAGCGTGCGCGGGCAGCGTGGCGGGTCGGGGCGCGCCAAGGCGGGGACCGGCGGCCGCAGGCGGTGCCCCCGCAGAGGCGGCTGTCCAGCAGGCGCACGGCGGCCACGCGGCGGAGTGGCCCCACGCACTGTTTTTTTTTTTTAGTGGCCCCACGCACTGTGGGGGGGCCTCTCTGGCGCGCAGTCTTCGGTGGGGGGCGGGGGGGGGCCATCGAAGAGCAAAGAGCGGCAGAGCTTGGAGCACCGTGTTCGGGTCGGGCAGAAGTGGGGGGGGACAGCAAAGGGGGGGGGGGTGAGAAGCAGCTCACGTAGCTGATTTTCCCCGCGCCTCCCGGCGCCGGAGGCGGCCATGTATCGAGGAATGGGCCCATCGATGGGGCCGAAACCAGCTGCGTGCAGCAAGTTTCGTACCCCCCCCCTTTCCCGATCCCCCCCTTTCGTTCGGCCCGACATGGGAGACCTGCTCTGAAACAGGAGCATGCCCTGGGCGGATCTCTCCTCTCTCCCACCTTGCACTGCGTCGCACGCAATGGCCGCATTGTCTACACACGTCGCCACCTCGCATGTGTCGATATACGCAGCGACACCCATATGTGTCCGTAGAGGCTTGTGGCTGGAGAGCGAGACTGGTACCAGGTGCACGCCCCAGGTATTGATCTTCCAGGAGCAGGTGGCCTTGGCCCTCCAGGGCCTGGGCCGAGCCCAGGCCAGAGGCCTCCCGCATGGGGTCCGAGTAGGTGGGGTCGGAGAATCGCGCCGCATCGCCGATGCATTGCCGATGCTTCGTCGATGCATCGGCGACGTCGGCGGTGCCTCGCCGCTTCCGTCGTGGAGCAGGTCGGGCTCCAACTGTGCTACGGTGTGCAGTATTGAAGAGGCCCCAGGACACACAAATAAATACACACAAATAAAAAGATTCCCCATAGTTTCCCATATTTTCTGGGTCGATGTCTTCCCACCACTTCCCATATGTTCCCACATTCTCTTGGGAATCGAAGATTAAGTGTGTCTGTGTGTTTCTTTTCCTCCTGAAGTATGAGAACCATGCGCGCAACTGGAACAAAGCGGCAACCCATTGCTCCTGTTGCTTTCTGGCCTTCGATCCCCTCCCTCCTCCCTCCTGCTGCCCGCGGGAGGGCGGGGCGGCCAAAGCCTCCGGAGCGACCCTCATGCTCCCCAGCAGCGACTCCACCGGCGGCACGGCCAGCTGCTGCTGAGACGCTGCCCGTCTCTCTCTCTGGCGCTCATGAACGCTCTGCTGCCTCCTCGGGGGACCTGGTCTGCCCCGTCGCGGCCCCAACCGCGTCGAACCCGTGTCGAATCCATGTCGGCCTCGTCGGATCCGCGCCGAATCCGTGTCGACTCCTCGTCGGACCCACGCCAAATCCGCGCGTCGAGCCCGCATCGAGCCCGCGTCGGGCACAAGAAGAGACACTCCTTCTGCGCCTCCTCATCCTCCTGCTCCTCCTCCTGCTCCGCCTGCTCCTCCCCCATCCTCCTCCTCCTCCTCCTCCTCCTCCTCCTCCTCCTCCCTGCCTCCTCCTCCTCCTCCTCCTCCTCCCTGCCTCCTCCTCCTCCTTGCGGACAAGCGAGGTCCTCCCAGGATGCAGCGCAATCCCTCGGGCGTGCACGAGCGGGCGGGGCGAGGAAGGACGCAGGCGGCGAGGCAAAGAGGTGCACCTCTCCAGCCTCTCTCTCTCTCTCGGTCCACTTCTTCCTCCTCCTTTTCCTCCTCCTCCTCCTCCTCCCTGCCTCCTTTTCCTCCTCCTCCTCCTCCAGTTTCTCCTCCCTCCTCCTCCTCCTCCTCCTCTTTTCCTCCTCCTCCTCCTTTACCTCCTTTTTCCTCCTCCTCCTCCTTCTCCTCCCTGCCTCCCCCCCCCGCCACCGAGTGGATTTTCCACTCGGTGGCGGCCGTCCATTCCCCGTGGATTGTTCGATGTCGTGCGTGCATTTCGTCGCACGGGGACCCAAGATGCTCCTCGATGGTGCTCGCCGAGAAAAAATGCACACGTCCCATCGAAAGGCAAAGGAAACTCCCAAGAACACCCCAAGACGGCCCAAAGAGGGCCTCGAGAACCGCTTCTCGGGATGCAGCGTCGCGGCTCCGAGGCCGCGGACGTGCACATACTCTTGCAGTGGGCTTTTCGCGTGAACATACTCATACTCATGCTCGTGTAGAGTCTGGTTCGTGGCGGGCGCTGTTGCCGACCCCCAGCTTCTGTTATCTGCACTTGTCGCGCGAGTCGTCGAGTACATGGCTTCTCCGATGATGAGTCACATGAACACCATCAACACCACCACCATCTCTTCCTTGTCCTGGTTATCTGCCCGCTGCTGCTACTACGCTTCTTCTCCTCCTCTGGAAAGCAAACACAATCGAAAGGAGAAGGCTTTTGCTCCCCTCCTGTTCCGTCCGCGGATCTTCATCTCAGGCTCTGGGAGATACACTGCTCCTCCTCCTCCTCCTCCTCCTCCTCCTCCTCCTCCTCCTCCTCATCGCTTCTCCTCCTCCTCCTCCTCCTCCTCCTCCTCCTCCTGCGCCTGCTCTTCCTTCTCCAGCGAGGCTGTCCACTTGCTGACCTGGCTCGCCACGCCGATCGGTCAGATCGCTCGCGTTTTAATCAGATCGAGCGAATCGAAGCCCATCCTAGGGGAAAAGACTCGCCTCGGGTGGGGACGTGGTCGAATCGACCGATGCACCGAGCAAACATCGGGTGAACCGCGAAACCCTGGGGCACGGCGCCAGCGCAGCACCAACGCGCGCTAGACGCCTCACCCTGTGCAACCACACGTCACAGGCCCACTTCGGCTGGCCCGCCGCCTGCACTCTTGCCGCGGCCCTGATGTTGGCACCTTCTCCCACCTTTTCACCGGGATGAGAAGGCAGAGCTGAACCTTAACTGATCGTGAGACGGCGCGAGCGCGAAGACGCGGAGGGGGAGGAGTCGGAGGAGTCGGAGGAGTCGGAGGAGGAGGAGGCGGAGGAGGCGGAGGAGGCGGAGAAGGCGGAGGAGGAGGCGGAGGACTCTGCTGGACTCTGCTGAGCGCCGCAAAGCGGCCGATCAATCACTGTCATCATCCACCGCTGACGCTCCGCCACGCTGCTGCCCAGGGCCTCCGCTGTCGCACGAGCTCGACACTCGAAGCCTCGCAGCCACCTCCCTCAAGGCAGCGGCGGCAGCAGACGGGCCAGCGGCAGCAGCACGGGGCGCCTCATCGTAGCGCATGGTGGCCGCCGTGTCGCTCGGGTGGCGTCTCGACGCCACTCTCAGGTATTCATCAAACAGATCATGATCAGAATCCCTCCCCTCTAACCCCGATTCCACCAGGGGCCCGCAGGCGGGGAGGGAACATCGCACAGCGTCTTCTGTCTGGGCAGCCATCACAGACACTGGTGGGCCACGATAGCTCGGAAACAAACCTTTCTGAATTCTGCGCAAATTCTCCCCTCCTTTGCGGGTGGGGGGGGAGCACACACCAGACAAATGCCTAGCATCAGCAGTGGCCGTGCGACCACAAGTCATACAGAAGAACAGACCATATGCTTTCATCTTGGCGAGCTGGTGGCTGGGGTGCAACAAAACTCCACCAACTCGCACTTCGCCCGAGGCCGCCTCGAAACCCTCACCATACTCCGCAGGCAGGCCAGTGGTTTCAGCCGCGTCCAGCTGCGGGGCGAGGGACTGACCAACACATTGGGTCGAGGCGACCTGGAAAAGCTTACTACGCGGGATAATATCCTTGCACAACTTACACCTCCAGCGCCCCGCAAAGGGCACGAAGACATGGGAGCTCCTGGCCAGGGCCGTCTCCAAACGGGTTGGCCTACGCTGCTGACGCTCGCGGGCAGGTCTCTCGCCAACCCAAGGTTCAACCTCGAGCGCCATCAGCAGAGCCCTCCGGGCTCTGAGCCTCACCAGTGCCGCCGTCGTATCCCACAAGTCGGTACGGGGGGCAGGGGTCGTCACACACCACTCCCAGGCCCATTGGGCCGCGGCTCCAGCCCAGGCGTCGGCACAGGCGTTGCCCAGGCTCAGGAACAAATCGAATTCAGTCTTGACCAACTGTAACTCGTCCTCCCTATGGGAGGGGGTCCACAAAACAGAAACCCCCCCAGGGCCGCGGGTCCTCAAAGCGGTGCCAATACGGACCCAAAGGTCCCCGTTAAGGCCCCGAGGAAACTTGGCACGGCCGTTGTGCCAGTCAGCAGTCAAACTCTTACAGTCGGTCACGTAGCAGATCGGTCCCCTCGAGCTCTCAAGGGCGAGACAGAAAGCCTGCAGCTCAGCACGCGGAACAGTTTGCTTCCTACCCGAGAGAATCTGAGCAACCCCGCAAGCCGGGCTCCAGAAAGGCGACGAGGCATCCTGACACATAACGACGATAGCCGAGCCGCATCGCCTCCGACGGGGATCCGAACTGTGCTCGCCTCCAGAGCCGTCCCCAAAAAGGTAAAGGGGGGGAGCTCCAGGGGCCACACAGTGATCAAGAACCGTCCCCTCCCCAAGAAGGACCTTTTGGGCCGCCTCAGAGCTCTCCACAAACTTGGGCACCACAAGGTCCTTCGGGGGCACTCCGCGAAGCCATAACGCGGGCTGCGCGTCCAGGCTCGCGAGGGCTTGGGGGACCAGAAAATCAGTCTTTGCAAAATCTTCGCGCCCGCAGTTAGCTGGGCACGTCCAAATACGGTGCGCTAAAGTCTCAGGCTTTTCTTTACAACGGGGGCACAGCGGCGGGCAGGCATAACCTGCGGCGATCTGTCTATCACGAGTCCACTGGCCGCCGCTCACCACGGCGACGTCCGCCGACCACTCGTCGAACTGCATCCGCTTGGCGAAGCGGTTCAGCTCGATGGTCACAGTCGTCAGGTCGGCGCCGTCCACCAGATCGTCGCCAGCCGCATGCTGAGAAGCTGACTGCCACTGCTGCGCAACACAATCATCCGCGAAGGCGCCCAGCATGTCATCAAAGTGGGCCAGTACCGCCGTGCCGAACTGCTCGTCACCAAGGGAAGGGAAAATCCAATCATCAATCATGCCGTCTGCTAAGGGGCGAGACCACACCAAAGGCGACTGGGGATCCCAACCAACTTGCAGCAAAGTCGCTTGCAGTGCAGCAATCGGGCCACGAACATCCTTCCAACAGACGGCCTTGCCTCGCTTGAGTTTCGCCAACACGATGGGCCATGCCTTGCAGATCCGTGGATGAAGGCCAGGCTGTGACAACCACAAGGCCACCCATTCACGAAGCAGCTGGCGGCGTAAATCAACTCCAGGCTCAGAAGTGCCATAGATCGCCTGCAGCACGGTGGTCAGGCACCGTCCCCGCTTCGTTCCAGCCACTGCTGCAGCTGCATCGCGTCGCATGGCCAACAGCGTAGTAGGAGGGGTTCCCATCAGCTGATGACCAAAGACGGACGCAGGGTACACGCCCGTCGACCAGAGCTTCTTCGTCACAAAGCGAAGCTTCGCCAGGCGCCTGACCTTCATCACTTTACGTTGCCTACGTCTTGCCTGGGCGCGGCGCTTCATCATCCTGGCAGAGGCCCTCACCCTGGCTGCGGCAGCGTCGGAGCCCAAGTCCACCGTGGCACGCACGAACTCCACAGGGATGCCCTTGCGGCGCAGCCGCTTCTCCAGCTCCGCGCCAAGGTCGTCCGAGCTCGCCACCAGCTTCGTCTTGGTGGAGATCTGAAGACGGAGCTCACGAAGGCCGCCTGCCATGACATCGGCCGTCGCCTCGAGGTCACGGATGACCTTCTGCTTGGTGCCCTCTGCGCGGCCAACAATGTCGTCTATATAGCTCCACAGGCCAGCAGGAGGGACCTCACGATGGACGGTATCCAACAGCCGATGCAACATTACTTTAGCCAGAGGTACTCCGTGCCCAGACCCCGCGACGATCGACCTGGTGACCTCCACCGCCTCCGTGATCATCTGGCCCTTCTTCAAAAGGCGCGGAAAGGAGTAAAGGCCTATCTCCAGCAGCAAAATAATCGGCGGGAATCCAATCTGCAGGCCGGCCTGCATGAGCAATACAAAACTCACCGAGTCGTAGAACTTAGTCAAATCTAAGAAAAGCGTCGCATGCTCAAAGGCCAGCTCATGGGCCCCCTCGTCCATCACAGCACGAATCAGCGCCGCCCGTAAAGCGGACGATCCAGCAATAGCTGTATCCCAGAAAGCAGAAAGCGACGCAGACCACTCCCCCGAA